CCTGTGGCCAAAGTAACATATGTTTCTCATATAAGAGGGTCTTGTAGTCCCCTGGGTTTGGGATTGATTCCTGTAGCAAGAGCAGACTCCTTTCAGAATAGGTAGAGCTCAAGGCATGGCTGGTGCTGTAATCCCAGGATTTGTTTTCCTCTCCACTGTATTTCTCATCAGGGTGAAGATGGGTGGCTATGCCTTCTTTGTCATATCATGAATTTAGGCACTTAAATTGTGACTTTAACCCAAAGAAAATAGTGGAGTCAGTAAATAAACACATAAAGAATACTAAGGGCCTCTTTAGTGCAGGGGAATTATTTTCTTAGGCTGAAATGGAGGAAACACTCAATGGAATTATTACAAATATAAGAGCCAACAAGAAGAAATAAAGACCCATACTTGGAAAACTGTCCTGTAGAAATCAGATCTGCTCCAAGGCAGAGAGAAAACTTTGAGTGGTAAAGAGGCTCTATAATTTGCAGTCTGAACAGAAAACTGTAAAACGGAAGTATGGTGGGAATTCATTACTAACTTAGTAAGTAATGGGGTCAGCTTAAACACAGTTCTTACTCATGTACCCAATTCAGGAACTGTGGGAAAAAGGAAAACAAGGAAAGAAACATCCCAATCCAACAGACTGCAATACCCAATGCATATTCGGTAGAGAATTTTAGAATGACTTTTCTACATGTTAGTAGTTCCCCATAAATCATGTTCTCCTGACATAGAATTATAGCAACTACATTTCCTAGTCTTCATTGCTTCCAGTGTATGAGCTGTGGTATAGCTATGCATACTACTTTGGTGACACCCTTCCTCTCCGAGACATCTTTTTATAACTTTTGTTTAAATTTTCCCATACATTCTCCTTCACCCTTAATTGATACCATTTCTTCATATTTTTGTTATGAAAATTATAATCCAGAAGATACTTGTATGAATTTTACACTCAGGACCAATGACTGGGTAGAAGAACTTTGAAGTGGTGAGTGTGTGAGTTGAAGCTATGGATGTGTTTAAATAGTACCTGGGACTAAATAAAAATAGTGATAAGAAATGAGGGTTTAGGATGGAACTCAGGAATGCCAAAGCGTAATTGAGAAAAAGGTACCAAAAATGAAAATAAACTGGATGTGATGCCTATACTCCCAGCACTTGGGAAGCTGAAGCAGGAGAATCTTGAGTTTAAGTTGGTCTTTATCTACATAGTGAGACTCTGCCTCAAAAAGAAAATGGGAGGGGGGTATGAGACATTTCTAAGAGAGGTCAGCACAACGACATATGTCTGTAATCCCAGTGACTCAGGAAATGGAGATTAGGAAGATCAAGGTTTGAGACTAGCCTGGGCAAAAAGTTAGTGAGATCCCATCACAACCTATAAGACTGATATGGTGGCATGTTCCTGTTATCCCAGCTATTCTGGAGGCATAAATAGGAGGATCAGGGTCCAGGCTGGTCTGGACAAAAAACACAAGACTGTTTGAAAAATAACTAAAGCAAAAAGGGCTGGAGGAGTGGTGCAAGTGATAGAGTATCTGCCTATCAAGCATGAGCCCTTGAGTTCAAATTTCAGTACTGCCCATCCCCCAAAAAGACATTTCTAGGAGAGTAGAGTTGTGAGTACCAATTGGGACAGCAAGCTGGAGAAAATAAGAACAGAAAGCTGTTGAGATTTCCCAACTAGGAATTCTTTGGAGATCATCATGAAAGGAGCTAGTGGAGATGGAGAAGAATTCATCCTGCATTGGACAGGTGTGTGTAGCATGACATAAAGATGATCAAAGTACACTGTGTTCATGCATGGGAATGCCATGATGAAACCCCTTACCACATACAATTAAATAGCTAAGCCAAGCTCTAAAAAACCAAATATCACATGTTTTCACTCATGTGGAATCTAGACCTAAAACGATGATGACTATAACAGTGGGACTTGAGTATGAAAGGGACCTGTATGGGGAGAGGATGAGCAGGAGTGAGGAAAGGAAAGGAGAGGGTACTGCGGGGGGATGGGGGGGAAAAGCGGATTGAAGCACCTTACATTATACATTTATATATATGAAGATAGCATGATGAAACCCATCAAATACTCTACTAAATGGGGGAGGAGAAAGGAGGTTTAAGGGGACAGAATAGAGAGGGTGAACTTGTTCAAAGTATACTATGCATCTGTGTCATTATCACAATGGAACCCCCTTGTACTATTAATGTATGCTAATAGTAAACAAAATTAAAAAAAAAAAAGAAAAAAGATGGTGGATGGAACCCATCTAAGTTCATCCTTACAAAACCCCACCAAAACCAAAGTTTGGGGAACAATGACAAGACATACCTGAATGGGAAAAGGAGAATGAGGGAACAGCATCTACAAATGTAAGAACTGGAAGCTGCATCACAGCTGACAATGGGACCCAGGAGCCATGGTAACATGCACTGCACACCCTCTAGTGCTGAGGGATAAAGCATAGCGCTAACTTAACAAGGGGATTTGAAAGCTGTATAAAAAGCAGTTAGAACCCCTGATGCCTTTGGATGGTCAGTCTTCTTCAACCTCAGCAGAAGATTGGGGTGTCATTCTCTGAGGAGCATAAAACAGAGGTTTGCTGAGCCAGGAGACACTAGGGATAGCTGAGGTTATCAGTACCTTACTGGAAATAAAGAGGGTACAGACTGAGCAATGCTCAATGCTCAGACTTTGGGCCCTGTTCCCTCAGTGGGTTCCCAGAGTGCTGGTAGCAGATCTTTACCTTCCAAGCAGGAGACTGAGACAGTTCTACAGGGAATTTGTCAGCCCAATAGGACAGACCTGAACATACTGACAGCAGAGATTTCTCAAAGACTAGCAGCCCAACCACCCTGCAGTGGAGCCTGAAGGAGATCATTGCAGCCAGAAACCTAGAGCTTCAAATCAGATTCTTGGTTTCCCTCTGTCAAATCTCTGTAGACAGATAAGCAAGGGCTACCAGACATTCACAGAAAGACTGATCGAAAGATGGATAGAAAAAAAGGCACATAGAGAAAAATACTTTTTGGTAACATAGACAGTTCAAAGAAGAAACTCTCTGTACCCCCCTCCCCAAATTGCTGTTTTCAGAGTGTTAAGAGAGATATTACTTCCATAAACTAAGAGAATGATGCTAGAAAAAGGAATATCCAGAGGGAACTCTTAGAAATTAGAGCCCAACAGTAACATTGAAAAAAAAACTGAACAGAATAATTGGAAAATAGGTTTGGAGACATTTTGGGAAGTAGAGCAAGAAAGAACATAATGTAAAAGAAAAATCAAGAACACAAGCAAAAGAGTGGACGAGCACAAGAGGCCCAAACTCTACCGGAATAAGAGAATTACAGAGTTGGAGAACAGAGAAAATAGAGAGACCATAACAACAACAAATTCCTAGAATGAGTTTCTAGTTTGAAAGGACCCTCTGAGAGCCCAGAACAAGGGCTAAAAATAGACCTGGGCCAAGTTCGTTACTAAACTTTGGAGCATTTGGGACAGAAAGATTTTATAAGATATTAGAGGGAAAAATCAGGGTGCATAGGAAAAATGAGGAATCAGAGTATCCTCAAACTCTTCAACAGTGACACCTGAAGAAGGCTGAAAATGGACCCTATGAAGGAAAATTATTTACAACCCAGAATTATACCTACCTCCAAATTATTGATGAAATGTCAGGATAGAATAAGACATGTCCTGACATGTGCAGAAATATACCTGCCTTGCCTACTTTCTCCAAACGGTGCTGGAGGAACTACACCAAAACGAAAGAGGAAGCCAGGAAAAGAAAACACAACATCACGGAAAGAGTGGCCCCAAAATGATGGGCTTAGCTTTGTGTCATCTTGGCTTAGCTATAGTGGCCAGTTGTTTTCATTAAGTACCAACCTAGATGTTGCTTTGAAGGTAAATTTTAGGTGTGATTATTGTTTAAATGGGAGACTTTGAGTAAAGCAGAGTACCCTCATAAGGTAGATGGGCCTCATTTAATCAACTGAAGGCATTTAGGGAAAAGACTGAGGTGCCCCAAAGAAAGAATTCTGACTCGAAACTTCTTTGGGATTCAAGACTACAAGGTCAGTTCTCTGGACCTCCAGTGCTGGTCTGCTTTTAACAGGACCCCACAACTGCATGAGCCAATTCCTTAAAATACTTACCTCTCTGTTTGTCTCTCCCCCCAACCCCATCTCAAAGAAAATGTGTTCTCTCCATGGGCTCCTAGCAATACATACCCTACTGCTTCTGTTTCTTTGGAGAATCCTGACTGATATACCAATGTAGACAAAAGGCAAAGGGAATTTTAGGCTGACAGTTCAGGTCTGTCCCCAGGGTAACAGCTGCGCAGGCAGACTGGAGTGCAATCATTTAGAAGGAAAATGAAGGGTTCTAAAAGGAGGAAAGGGGAGATCACTAGCTACCTTGAGATAATTAATGTTGGAGAGTTAAGTCTCATCTCTAAAATGGAAAGTCACTGGATATTGGCTGAGACTGATGAGTCAAAATGTTGAGCATCATTTAGAAACCCTGTGTAGATGACAGCTAAGATAGATGAAAGAGATGGGAACAAGCAGAAAGGGGGACAGGAAATGGAGCATTTTGTTATAAGCCTTTTAGAAAATGTGATCTTGAAACTATTTGCATTTGTTATTTGGAGTGAAAATTTACAGTAGTTTTAAAAGTGAGAAGCTTGATTTTTTTTTTTTTAATGATTTGGAGAGGGAATCCTGCCAAGATTGTTTCCTCCTGTACAGCTATTAGAGCAATGGAGTGCCAGGCCGCCTTTAAAATTGAACTAGATAACAGGACATGTTTATAAAACTTAAAAAAATTTTTTAAAAGTTGAAAAATAAGCAGAGCAAAAAAATAAACAGATTTCAGTGCTAAGGTAGTTTATTGAAACTTAAAGAAACAAAACATAACTTACAGGAAACATTTTCAAAATGTCTGTTTAAAGTGACTTGTTTTATTACATAGTACACTCTGATGACTAAATTCAAGACAGCTTCTAATTTTCCACTGATGTTCTACAGAAGGAAATGTTCAGAATCCAGAGTATATTAGCACTGTAGCAGTTTTCTGAGTAAAAAGGCAGGTTTACTCCTGATAAAAAGAAAAGAAGTCTGTATCAATGATGTTTCAAGGACTGCTTTGGGGTAGGTGAAAGAGTGTCAGACAATTTTCAAACTAGTTATGCACTATTTTCAACATCTATCTATGTATCAATCATCTATGATAAAATCTCTCATTTGTATATCTGGGAAAGGCAGTAATCTATGACATTTACAACCACAGAATCCAAGTCAAAATATCCCAGATAGACCCAGGCAAGGGCTTGGTGACCTCTCTCTGTCACAATAGCACCTGTAGTATATGTCTACTATAGGAGCAAAATGAGCCAACACAGTTGAGGCATGTGGGGCAGTGGCAGGCATAGAGTAAGCACTAAACAAGTATTAACTGGGATGACCACCCCCGTGTGATTGTGCCGTCTGTGGACATGCTCAAGACAACCTGATAACTACAGTTCTAATGCAGAGTGGACGATAGCAAGGTACTCACCTGGAACCTCCACAGCCAAGTATGTTGGAAGCCCCTTGCACATGCTAGCAATGTTTGTTCCAAACTGGCTCAGGTCATCAATGCTATTAGAGTTGACGGAGAATATCAGGGACTTGGTAGACTGTTCCCCTGACCCTTTACCTTGAAGCTGAGTGTGAAGAAGACAAATGGAAAGAAAAATAGTAAGTGCCATGCTCAGTGGTTAGTTGATTGCGGTGATGCAAGGCCAACAGGGGTTTGATGGGCTGTAATTTTTTCATACTCAAGGTGAAGAAGAGCTATTTTGAGCTCTGTATAGCTCAGAATTTCTTAGTGTCCCAAGGGAATGAGATGGTTTGAAACCTCAGCTACTCATTGAAACAGAATTCTAAGACTAAATTTATTCTGAAGTTTAGACCCCATTTGCTTGTCTTAGATTCCTTGGGTTGGGTTATAATGATTAATTTCTGAGAATGTAGTCTTTTTACTTTCTTTACCTTGTCAATGAAAGGTATTCATTTATAAATATGAACTCAGACAATTAAAAAAATGATGGGGAGGCAGAGTTAGAAGGATCAGGATTCAAGGGCAGCCTGGGAAAAAGTTTGGGAGACCCCATGTCAACCAGTCTCTGCATGTGTTGACATTTGTCTGTCATCTCAGCTATGTAGAAAGCGTAAATAGGAAGATGACAGTCTAGGCCAGTCCAGGTATAAATGAGAGCCTACACCAAAAATAAGCTAAGTGAAAAGTGCTGGGAGCATGGCTTAAATGGTAAAGCATCTGTCTGTCAAGTGTAAGGCCCCAAGTTCAACCCTAGAACTTACAAAAAATAAATAAATAAAAATTAAAAATAAACAACCACTGATTCCCTTTTCCTATTTACTTCAATAATTGTTACCAGATAAAATATAGATGTTCAATGTCATTTGATTTTCAGGTAAACAGCAAATTATTTTTTAGTGTAAGAATATCCGAAATATTATATAGAACATACATATACGAAAAAAGGATCCATTGTTTATCTGAAATCCAAACTTAATAGTAATTCTTAATTTTAATCTGCTAAATCTGATAACTCTTAGTAACTCTTGCAGAAAAAATGTCCTTGGAGAAGTCCAAAAGGCTTGCGTTGATGCAAACAGAATTTTGCTCTTCTGACAGTCAAGGTTATCAGGTGTTCAGCTCTGTTCTTTAGCCGTAGGTGTGAGCCACAGCACTTCATGTGGTGGAAGCTGCCTCCTTCCCTCAGGCAATTGATTTTCAATCACTCTCACCCCTGTGCCTTACGCTACAACATACTGTGGACAAAGTGGAATGACTGTGGTCTTCTCATTATTTATGGAGGTCATGAGACCTCCTTTCCCCAGAAAGCAAAAGACTTGTTTTTACCTTTTTCTCCTTGACCAGTGCATCAAGAATTTCAATAGAGGGCATGACATCCTTGTTCATTTTGTGCACAATGCATGACTTCTTGGCAAAGAGTCTGGTCGCAGCAAAGCTCTGTTAAAGAAGACAGTACACAGTGAAGTATATATTTCCCAAGGAGCTTGCTGAGCAGAAGTCAGTTCTACCAGCTGAGAGATGTAAGGCTCCAAGACCATGCTGAGCTGGGATGAGGGCACTGGACCTGGCATGTCTTGTGATCATGTCTGTTGCTAATGCTAGGAAAGATGGACTGCAAACTCGTAGGGTGGAGATGGAGAATCTAACTCATGGCCTTATCTTCAGTTCTAGCTTGACAGGAGATACTCAACTTATGCTTGTTTACTGAAATGAATTTTTAAAAACCATCACATTTTAGTCTCCTTTGATCCTTACAACATTTCAAGAAGGCAGGTATGGCAGGAATTATGCTCCTGACTGATCAGATGATAAAGTGAAACAATAAAGAATTTGTTTTTTAAAAGAACAAATTTTGTTCCATACAAAGAGCTTGTAATTGCAGGGTAGGGTCTCCCAGATAAAGTCAACTCTTTCCCCTTCTCTTACCAATTGCTATTATCATTTACATTTCCTTTGGTCCTTTTGAATCAATTTCTACCCTTTTAGGAGGAAACTGAAGACAGAATGAGACAGGCTATGCTTTAGCAGTTATGTATTATATTGTGTTTGCCATCAAAGCTATCTGCAGACCACACAGAAGGATGTTGAAATTTGTTTTATATCACCATAATTTTTTGGACATAGTATATCCTATTTGTTGGTTTGAATTTTAACTGCTTACACAACACTTATTAATAGTAGCTCTATCTAGAGAGTAAAATTAGGTGAAAGAAGGCATTTCTACTCATAAATATTATGCTTATGTGCAGTTAGCTGACACATTATTTTTTTTCTTAAAAAAGATACCATGTTTTTAAGGAGTGAAAGTTTCATGTTGGCTACCTACATTGCCATAATCCCAGATGGTGTTCCAGGAGTCCCATCCATTGTTGTTGTCAACATTTGCCACGTTGTGTGCATTGTTGACACTCACTGTCTGCTGCCCACTTCCAGCAACATTGTTGTCATCATTGACGTTGATATTCTGAAATTTATAAGAAATTAAAAATGATTAATACACATTACTTTGTAAATGCATTTGGTAACAAACCTTAAAAAGTGAGACTTACATAAGCCAGGCCGGGAGCTAGGAAGAGTCCAAGGAGTCCAATAAAGACCATCTGAAATAACAAATAACGTTGGCCCATGGTTACGTGGCAGAACGATGCTCTCTGCTTCGCCTTCATCAGGCTTATGAAAAATATTTACCATTTTTACCAGTGTGTTGAATGATTCGTTTTCTTCTTCTACCTTGTATTTTAACCAACGAAAATTTTAATAACATAGGATTATTGATTTATTGTAAGTAATTCTACAATTATAGTATATAGTTTTAGAATTTTGAACTTAGATCTTATGAAAAAGTGATGAAGAGTAAATTTTAAAATGATTACATACATAGTATGAGAATGACTTACAAGTTCTGAAAAATAACATCTAAAAATGTCATGAGTTAATTTTTCTACTTGATCTGGGATGCATTCCTCCTAATAGAAAACTTACTTTTTAAAAATTACTTTTCTAATTAGCTAAAGAAGTTTCTATTATTTTTATTAGTATTTTGAGAACAGTTAAAATTAGTCCATAAAAAGTAAGGAGTAGAAGAAAGTTTACAGAACTTGTAGTGCAATGTAATCCTTGTACACAGGAGGAAACAGCTGTAGAGGTTAGGTGATTTGGCTAATGGCATATCTCTTGTTTACGGCAGAACAGGAGAGAAATCAGGTCTTCTGACCAATATCTGGAATCCCTACTGCTTTCCCTGCCCCATCTTGCTGCTATTAATAAGACTTATTTCTAGATCATTATCTATTTGCAACCCCGTTATAAAGCAGAATCCACTGTCATATTGTTGAAGCATGAAAATATTCATCTGTTTCTAGCCCCTTTACATCCTGTTGTCTAAACCTCAGTACCAATGGCCTTTTGGCAGAATTTTGGGGTGCACTTCTACTCTCCCAAGCATGAGCCTGGAATGCAGGTGAGAGGCTCCACCAGCTTCATGTTCAGGTGCTTCCTCATGGAAATGCCATGGACAGGGCCCAAGGCCAACCTTTCTTACTTGGACATCCATGTGACTAATTGCAAAGCGTGCAATGAGTCTCTCACATCTTGTTTTGATAATAAGCTGAATATGCTGAGGAGTTTTGGTAAAGGAGGAAACCAAGAATGAGGAAAGGTCAGGCACTTTCTAGGGCTTAGGCAATACTTGTTCAGTGTAGAGACTTCAACCCATTGATGTACAAAGTAATTTTATCAAACATAGCTTTGTATAATAGGCTCGGCAGCTGTTTAATCCCAGTATAATTATCCTGCTCTATAGAGATGTGTATAAATACTATGAATATGAAAGAGAGATTATTTTTTTCAAAGTTTTTCCATTACGGTGATATTGTTACAAGAAGCAGAACTCCTTAACTCAGAATATGAGCCTTCTCTAATTAAATGATACTACATTAAGAGAAAAATCGACTTACTGTGAACTTCATGTTTTCAGGAGTGTAATGAACCAGAGAAGCAGGCAAGCATGGACTTCATTGAGCAGCACTCTTATATTTGTACTTGACTGGCTTTACTCAAAATAGGTGTGCTCAGGTGGAGTCCAACACTTATCTCTCTCCCTTTCCTCTATCTGCCCCACCACCTAGTTTACCAGGAAGACTTTTGAAATAGCTGCCTGGTTAGCAAGGCTTTTAACATGGATTTGGTCTGACTCATCACCTGTTGAAGTCACAGGTATCACAACAAAATTGAGTGATTTTTGATAACTTCTGGTCCAGTGAAAGCTATGGGTGTGGCTATTTTATGCATTGGCACTGTGCAAATTCAGGAAAAGAATAATCCCTTAAATCAGCAAGACCACAGATGATACTGTGTGTATGCCTGGCTTTCCAGATTTCAGCTCCTGTAGGAATATGGGAACAGTTTCCTTTCCTTACCTTTACTGATCCCATTGTAACACTTGCTTAGGCTACCATGCTGTGAGCTACTCTCACCAAATCCACGTTACTCTGCAATTCTGAGATCTCCAACCTGAGATCATAACTCAGCTCATTTGTGCAACTGACCTGTCTAGTCAGGGGTCTGTAATATTTCAGTGCATTTTCTCCATTTTCCTAAAGAACATTATGTAAATAAACATGATTCTCCTACGCTTAGAAGCTTTCCTTAATACAGAGTTCGAACTCTTTGAAATGGCCTCTTGGTTTCTTTATAATAATAATATTTTCAGCTTCCCTAGATGTAGCTGTCCCATATGCCTTGCATCTATATTTGGGCTACACCAGACTTCCCACATTCCTGCATATTCAAGAGATTTCATGCCTGAGTGTCTCTGTACTGCCTTTCTCTAATTGGCAAATTGCTATTCATTTTTCAAAGCCCAGTTCAAATACAGCTACCTGTATCATTTCTTCTCCATCTCCCAGATGGAAATTGCCTTCTTTTTAACTTAGAGCTAAAAATAGAATCTCCATCTTTTTATACTATTTAAAATAATTTTCAGAAGTTACATAAACAATTTTAAAAAGTGTTTTCATCAGAGGAAGAAAGTAGAAACTGTCATTGGGCAAACCAATAAATGCCTAAAGAGGTCTTGGAGGTGAATTGCAGCTTAATTTATTTTTCTGCGCTGTTCTATAAACGTAAACTGGTGAGCCAAATTTGCTAAAGATGAAAACTTTATCTTATTTGTTGCTGATCTACAAACTTCTATTTTGGAAACTTTCTTGTTCCCACAATTGTGCAGGTACTGGAGCCCTAAGAAGGAGTTAAGTGGTTCTAAAGCTTGGCTCAATATCAAGGTTTACCAAGGTCTTGGTATGAATGCATTAAAACAACTTTAGTAAGATGTGGCTTTTGTTTTTAATTCATGCACGAATGCCTTCCAAGCTCACTATTTAGCTGCACAGCGTCAATATGCCTGGGGCAGAGAGCAGGCACGTGTAGAGGTTCTCATCTGCTTTAGGAGCCCTCAGCTCACTCTAAGGTCAAAGATTGGACAACATGGGTCAACTTTAGACTCAGTCTTGGCAGGTCACCTTGGCACCCCCAGGTAATGTCGAGCACACATTTATGCCTTCCTTTCCCAGGGACTCAGGGTTGACATATCTTATAGTGGATCTGTGAAATGCTGGTATGATAGGTGCCCCATGACAGATGGATGACAGGCAGATTAGATACACATAGTTAGTTGAGGGCTTCCCTCTGAGAGATGGGCAGTTCACATTCACATGTCAAATACAGATATAAGAAACCTATAGGAGAGAAATCTGTGCCACATTGCTGCACCCAGATTCTCCTCAACTGAGATGATCACAGAACCTGATCTGTGTTCCTTTTTCTTCCCTTTATTTTTCCTACCACTTCTTAATCTCCGTAAGGGTAACTTGCTTTGGGAAGCAATAATCATGCTGCTTCTGAGGATTTACCTTGTATTTGTTTTTTTTTTCATTTATTCATATGTGCAGACAATGTTTAGGTCATTTCTCCTCCCTACCCCCCCGCCTTCTCCCTTTCCCCCCGCCCTCCCTCTCCCCCCTAGCCCCTTGCTTCCAGGCAGAAACTGTTCTGCCCTTATCTCTAATTTGTACCTTGTATTTGAAAATACAGGTGGGTGGCTACTCTTGGAGCTAGGAGCCAGGAGACCTATATTCTATTCTTCTTCCTTATTTTAATGAGTCATTTTTCCCCTCTAGGCTAAAAGAGAATAAATTCCTTCTTTATATAATATTGTTATTTCTATAGTCCAAGTCAGAACAGCCCCTTCCTCTGTACTTTCTGTGGTATGTGAGTGTGTGTGTGCATGTGTGTGTACAGGGGCTTGTGTGTGTAAGTGTGTGTGGGGGTCAGTCCTGGTCTCATTTAAGGCCAAGTTCCTAATGAAGCATGAGCAAGTTTCTTACTCCCTTCCCTGAAAGCTATGTTTCATGTCCTTTCTTGGGAGTAAGCCAGAACATCAATACTTTTTGTCACCTCCATAAGGCCTAGGAAATGCTCACAAATGATGCTTATTAGATTCCCTTCAAACTTTTCAATTGCATAAAGGAGATGATCAAGCCAGAGAATATGAGCTGGAGAAATGCTGCTCTACACTGTTGGCACACTGAGGGTGTCTCAGGTGACAGCATGCTATTCAGTGCTCTGGGGTTAGTGTAGGGAAAACCAGTCCATGGGTAAATAGGGTCTGCCCTGCTCACAGAGGTTAATGCTGGGCCATGCCTCAAACAAACCCCTATCATTATTTTATCTCCTAGTGCACACACACCCAGGGCTTCACTTTACTCACACCCTACCACAATGAACTAAGTAGAAACTCCCTTTGTCTGGAACAAACAAGATACATTCCATGTACGATATACTTGCACTACAGATCTGGATCCCTCCAGATTTAGAGATTTCCCCAGAAATCAGACTTTTTTGCGTTTATTTTTTTTCTTGAGTGGAAGGGTGTGTTTACTTGCAGGACACATACTCTGGAATATTTTTATTCCAGATGCCCTCTGCTAGGTAGGTCTGCTAATCAGCTGGTTATCAGTTACTAATGCCTATACAGCCTAAGAAATCTTATCTTCCCTTGATGTCTTGTACCATTTCCTGGTATTTAGGACTAGCTGGCTGTAGCCCATTATCCCTCATGCTATCATTTCTTTGTTTGAGTGGGGAAAAGCTTCATGCAAAGATTCAGTCTCAAACTCCATGCATTTATTATTTCTCTGCATCAGTTTGATGGTCCTTGTGATAGCTCCAAGTCAGGTGGTCCATCATGAAGTCTGAACATATTTCATCTCTGTACAAACTTTTGTACCTTTTGTGTCTTGGTTTATCTTCCTGTAACTATGATTGTAAACTGTGACTATAGCCCTGGTTCTTGTGGGAATGATATACTTAAGTCAAACCCTTCATATGTTCTTGTGGCCAGAAATAATACATCGAAAAAATACCAAACAGGAACATGTAAAATAGAATTATAATAATTGTTGCTAGAAAGTTTGCAATTCCAGAAAATCCAAACTTATAACGTAGCTGTTTTTGTATAGGAGAGAAATTCTTTTCAAATTACAGCAAAGTTGAGGATGCTTTTTCTCAAGGCACCACTGAGCTTTTTATTTTTGCTATTTCCGCTGGGACCATTGCTTTCCAAAATACATATAACCCTGCCTTTCTCTTGCTGCTTGAATAAATCTGTCCAGCTGCATTGCCAAACCTTCTGCATCTCCTTAGAGGCAAGCAATGGTATATGAGGCTTCAGAGTAGCTGTTACCCTGAGTGTTTGACTATTGTAAACACAGTTTGGAAACATTTTGCTAAAAGAAGGTCTTCTGAGTAATTTCATCATTTGTGTAAAATCTACAAAAATAGAGGTAATGAGAACGTTGATCAATGACTTCATTTTTTATCAATCATGAAGAACAGCCAAAAAATGCCTAAGCACTTTTGTTCTGAAAGTGATTCCTTGATAGTAAGATGTTGCTTTATAATTACCTCATGGTAATTCAGGACTAATGTCACTATTCCCTGTTCTGTATTATTACTGAAGCAGTCAAGAGTCTAGTGACAATGGCATAAAAACACTTGTGATTAAGTATGTTCACTTGGTCTTAGCCTTCAGGCCTGGAAAGAATGGAACTCCTCCTAGAAAAATGATAATCCTGTCTGGTTGCACCCAGAGAGCTAGAGCTGGCAGAGCTACATGCTGAACAGGAGACAGGGTTCTGTGTGGACCTGGTGGCCCCACAGCATCTGTCTTCTGTGGCTTTTTTGGCATAAGAGGCCAAAGTAAAGGACATTCTCTAAGACCACTGAGCAAGGAAGCACAATATTGAGAATCAATACATTTTCTGCAGGGTGACCATTGGAACTGGTTTCCTTTTCTACATCTCAAATAGAACATAGACACCTATGAGTGTCATCTACTTCTGGAGAACTCATCTTCCAATGAAGATAATTGGATCCCTGGAGTTGTCTCAGGGAATACTGCTATTGTTCAGTTATGCTGTCTTGTTGCCCACACACCCAGTTTCCAGTTCCTGGAAGTGCTTAATAAATGTACCACCCAGGATTTATTCTGGAGTGTAATTTTGCTTCAGAGGTTCCATCAGACTTGAATAAAACCCAACTTCCCTCATATAGGCCGGAAAAGTTGTTTTATTTGTTATTTAACTATGGGTCACAGGATCTATAACACTATAGCCATTTTGTCACATTGAAAACCAATCAATTAATAGCTATTCATTAAGCTTCAGCTAGTGCAATGTCCCATTTAAGCACAAGAGCTATGGAAGGTTCAAAGATATAAAACAACCAGTGCTCACACTATAAAATTTGAAATCACATGAAAGACAGTGCTGGCTTTATGGACACATGACCAGTGTAGTCCTCCAGGGCTCATGCTCTAGTGCAGGAAGGGTCAAGTATGGACTCATGTACCTGCATGCCATTTTGCAGGATAGGCCCCAGAAACTTTCAGGGTCTGCACTTACCTTGCAAA